ATTTTTTTTTTTTTTTTTTTTTTTTTTCAATCTTGAGAAAGAACCATTATATGTATGCAATAATAATCTCTGGCGACTTACGCATCAACAGGATATGCCAAAATAGGAAGTATTTTCCAGGCACACTTTTTTCACACGAACAACAAATATCGGCAAAGCGAAATCAACGCATGTGAAGAAGCACCTATATATTACAATGTAGATATCGTGTGTTCTTTTTGTAGTATTTTATACTGAAGTTCTGTACCTTATATCATATTGTCTTCCACAGGTTTCGCTTTTAAGGAGATACAAGAACGTGTCAAAAATTGTGTCACATTTCATTCTTCATAAGCGAAACAAAAGTAGAAAGTAACAGAACTTTCAAGCAACGTACCGAGCGGACATCTAACTAATTAATGAATAATAACGGTCATTACCTTCTCTGATATCTTTCGGAACGTTAGATGAGAGCGATGACATGGAAGGAGTCTGATAGAGATTGGGCCGTGCGCCTGTTGGTGGCAACGGTGCTACTTTGGACCTAACAAACAATTTACATTACCGCTTCCTTTCCCGTTTTAACACGCTGCACTTTCGATATTTAGATAATATCAAAGCAATATGGAATTTATATATTCTTAAATATAACATCACTACAGCGATATTTTCATAAATAACTGATTGAGCTCGGTAGGAAAAAGAATAAAAATTGGTAAATCACCTCTGTTTACGAATTTTCTGATTTCGTCCATCAAACGAGGTTGGTGTACCAGTACCTGAGTTGTTCGATGAATAAGAAGGCGGTCGGTACGGTCGTGGACAACCTTGAACAACAGGTGGTGATGGTACTGGTGCATACTGTAACCGCGGATTGGCTGGTACTGTGGGATGCATCAATCTCATATCTCCTACAATAAGAAACAAATAATTAATGTAATAAAATAATAAGGAATATGCAATAAACAAATAATTCAGCAAATTATACCTTGAACAATATGGACACCCTGATACATTGGCAGTGGGTAGCGTGGTTGGGGTTGTGCGCTTCTGTCCCCGCTCCCACTTCCAAACAGTTCATGTGCTGGAGTCGGTGACTTGCTAGTCCTCTGAGAGTTACCTGGCGTTGAAGCTCGAACGCCAGCAACAACCTAAGGCATATACATTAAACATCCTTCGTTTAACACCGTCAAATTTTATTTCATGTTTCGCCGTTTCAAGAAACTTACAGGAACATTTTGTCTAAAAACGAGGTTGGGAACCAGCGCAGGAGTCATGTAAGTTCCAGGAGGTGCAGGAGAAGTTCCATTGTGTCCAACTTGATGGCCAAATGTTCCGTTGGATACCATCGTCGGTGGCGGATAACTACCAGAGTTGACATACATCAACGGCATTCCAGGCATCTGTAAATTAATACCAAGACCATAAGATTTATTAATTTGATCTTTAACTAAAAGTAATGTTTTCAAATTACGTGTATAACAACTACCTGATTAGAAGTTGGAGTATTTGGTGGTGTTGGCACTCTGTACATGACAGGTGGTGGTTGAATCGCCGTTTGACTTGGTGGATAGTACGTAGGTACCATATGAACTGGTGGTTGATACGTGTAATCGCTTGGTGTCGGTGTTACAGGCATCGAATTGTAAGGGACTGGATAACTACCCACGTAATTAGCTAGCATAAAAATAATACAATTAAACAATTATCACGCCGCAGTTACATCGAAATTCACTCACAATTTGATTGGCTCGGAGGAGTCATAGTTTGTGCATTGAAAGAGTAATTTGTTGTAAATCTCTGTTGCTGATGCAACGGTTGTCTATCACCTGGACTTTGACTGACTGAAAGCGCTGCACCAGGCGGTGGTACGAAATACATCGTTTGTTGCGGCTATAAAAAAAACCACAGCCGGCGAATTAATACGAAAGTATATATTGCAGAATGTAACAAAGTAGTAAAAAATTGAATACCGGTACAGAATTAGGCGGTGGTTGCCAGTAATTTTGCGGCATCGTCTGTACATTCTGCACTGCCTGATTTGTAGATGGTTGCGGCTGCGGGTAAGAGTGCGGTGGCGTAGAATGATTATCACCGGTCACGCGTTGGTCGTAGATACTCATGCCCATGAAATATCCCGACAATTCGGTTATCTCCGTTGTCTGCGACACTGGTCCTTGTTGCACAGGTACTGCATAATTCGCGTAAACCGAATTCTGATTAAATACATCACTCTGACCATTGTTTTGAATATTCGCCTGATTTTGGCTCGGATGAGGAGCCATCATCACAGTCTGTTGCCCCACGGAGGGTGGATAGACACCCTGGTTATACGGCTCTGAGGTAGGTACGTAGGTCGTGTATGGTTGAGCTGCTTGATTATGATTACAAGTTTGCACCGTCGATGACGATTTGACTAGAATTTGTTGCTGCTGCGGTTGCTGTTGTTGTGGCTGTTGTTGTGGTAGTGGTTGTTGCTGCTGCTGCTGCTGCTGCTGTTGCTGCTGCTGTTGTTGTTGTTGCTGCTGCTGCTGCTGTTGTTGTTGTTGTTGTTGTTGCACTGGTCCTGGATTCTGTTGTTGAGGTGGTGGCGTGAATGGCAAACTCGGTGATGTCGCGGAGTTTGTTACATGAGTCACCGTCGTTGTATTACCACCGTTGTGCTTGTTGGGCTGCGATTTCTTTTTATTATCATTCTTTGCGTTATTCTGCGTCACTTTGGATGGCTCGGATACTTCTATAGTCTTGGTGGGCGACATACTGTTATTCCTTTCGTTCTCGTGCGGCAATGCAGCAGTATAAAATTTAGGTGGATTCTCCGGGTCGAAACGATAAATCGAACCATCCGGATTGGTGTACGGCTGATTCGTTTGCGGATTTATAATTATACTGCCTGGCGGTACGCTGGATATACTGGTAACCGCCCACATCACCGTTTGATTATTCGACTCCGGGGAAGCGAGATCCTGACTAGATACTTGGGTGTGACTGCAGGTCATGGTCGCCACAGGGGATGGCGAAGGAGACGGCGATATCGTGGCATCGCTACGTTGACTCTGTGATTTATAGCCGCTGCTCGAAGGACTTAACCGTGAACACATACTAGCACCTGAGTCTGTAACAGATATAATCTCTAATTTATAGACGTATCGCGCAACATGAAGCTTACGCGTGTAAAGAAAGGATTTACGAATGGATAAATTTGTAAAGAATTGAACGCGAACCTTGCTTCATAAGACGAGCCCCTGCACTATGAGTAGACGTAACACTGTCCCCTCTAGAAAGCATTCCCCTGGTGTAACCACCAAAGCTAAAGGATTTGGAAACGGATGGTCTCAACATGGAACCACGACAGGATTCTCTTCCGTCGAAAGATTCCCCTTTCAACAGCTTCGATTGCCTATTACACACGCAGCATAATCTTCCTCTTACATTATATACGTACAACAATAAAAGCTATTATTAGAATATTCACCTCATTGTATGATCCGAAGGATGTAACAAACGATATCTCGCAGATGCGTCAGAGCTTTCCGAGGAGGACCAGTAAGGCCAGGAAGTAACTTCGCTACTGTCTCCGCTGCTGTCCTTAAATATTCTTCGTCTGGCACGTTCGTACTCCTCCTCCCTTTCTTCGAAACTCTTATTCTGTCGACAATAATCGCCGGACAATCTATCAGGCGACTTAAAATTGAAATTGTCCTCGAACGAACTGGAATCTCTCTTCAGGATACTCCTCCGTGGTTCCTCCGATAGAATCAGATCATCTCTGATGTGTTCTTTGAAACGAGTGTTTGGAATTCGCATGTTTTTCGTTCTGGTAACTATCACGCTGGAACCGGACTGATCGACGTTATGTTCCATGCCGAAGTAAGCTGCCACGCGATGCACCAGCATTCTGTTGTAAGAGGACATGTTTGGAAACTTGTGACAGACTTTCTGTTTGTCCTTCGCGAACTCTATCAGATCTTTCTCGATTCTTAATAGCACCGTGCGATCCTTCTGATTACGATTTATCGTTTCCGCGATGAAATGCTCTAGGTCTATTCCAGTACTGTCTGTGTATAATTCCGTACTACTATCTATGAAGAAAGAAACATTGTTTCGTCTTAAGATAAACGTAGCACACTTGAAGCAATTAAATTGAAAAGTTGTTGCAATAAGAAAGTAGCTCTACTATGTTCCAGTAACTTGAGTAAGCCAGCCAAGGGTCAACTTATAATCGTTCAAATATAGATCAACTAATAAATCTGTAATCAATTTTTGCACAAACGAAGAACACCATGAGGTATATTTTCTTTCTTAAAGATACGAGGACTAATATTAATTAAATTAAATTAATATTATTCGTTTACAAGGGGAGAGAGATTATCAACTGTTCTTGGATGAAACAAATCTCTGCTTTCGTTCCAACATTTACGACAGCACTATTAAAATTACATGAAAAATGTAAATGTCAAATACACACCTCGCGAGAGGCAAGGCGACGCGCTGTCGAAGCTACCCTGGGAAGAATTCTGATGCCTGAGCTTGTGCCGCGAACCAGGCCTGCTCACGGACAAGGTGTTGCCGCACTGCGTCGAACATTGATTGTTACAGATGTTCAACGTGTTCGGTCTACGTTGTTCCAATTTTTGCTGATTGTTCTGCACGTTTTGAGCCAGGTTGGTGCTCTTCGGCGAGTGTTGCAATCCTTGGCCGGTCTTCGATGGTGACACAGGCGTCTGAAGCAGGCCGGGCCGGTCATTCTGATTGTTCTTCACGCAGTTATTGCATTTCTGAATCACATGCGAGCCTGTCATCTTGGAGCGCTGGTTCTCCGATTTATTGCCGTTTGTTGGAGAGGTATTGTTCTTTGGTGAATGAACTTGCGAGGGACTAGATTGACCTGTGATCAGAATAGATTCGGTGTCTGTCTGGCTGTCGCTGCGACGACGATAGAAATCCAGTTAAGAGAAAAAAACATATCCGTGAACGAGCGGGTGTGTTACCATTTCGTGACGGTGCTCGACAAGTGGGCGATGTGGCTGTGTTACGCATTTGCTTCGGGGATTGATTCGGGCAAAGATTACTGTTGAACATTGACTCGTTGTTATTGAGCTTGGCGTTAGTGGAATTCGGTGACAGGCTGCCCACGAACTTTTTTTCACCGTCCACCGACTGTGGACTGTGCGGAGACGACGAACCGTTGTGTGGCTCCCTCGGGGGAGACGTCGACTCTCTCATAGCATGGCTCCTGACCAGCAACTTAACTTTCGTATTTGTCTAAAAAAGGATTTTACATGCTCGTTTTAACCCTCTATATGCGAAATTAAGTTACCTACGCAATTTTCATTCAATTTTTATGTAATTGAATGGCACGTTGTAAACACGGGGAAGAAGGAACAAAATTTTCTAATAATTTAATACTAGAGTACCCTCAGTAGTGAATCTCCTAATGTTATATCGCCAGAATAGAATATCTGTTAGTAACCAAAAGATCGTTTCTTCGTGTCTGTTCTGACAACATAGCACGTTAAAATATTGGGAAAATACAAGTTCATGTAAAGCAGCAAAAAAAAAAAAAAAAAAAAAAAAAAAAGAAATAAGACGTGGCACTATAGAAAGCTAAAACATACAAACATTCTCTCTGCCATGTTACAGCGATTCACAAATGTTCATGATCTTTTAAGCATTATGAGGAACTGCTGTCACATTGAAACGACACAAGTGTTTCTACGAAACGCTTGAATACCAGCAAAGTATAAAGGGTTAACGGGCAACATGCCTTGGTAACATGAATTAGAAACTGGGAATTTTGAAACATTGTCAAGCACGTACCCTGGTACGAAAGTTCTTGTTCTCTGTGTCTGATTTGTCAGGAGGACAGGAGGGTGAGCTATGGTGGTGAGAATTTGATGTGGGAGAAGAGCCGACATTCGGATTGGCATTCCCGTCTATCATATCCGACTCCGGGCTGTTCTGATATGATGTATTGGAGCCACTTATGACAAAGCCTTGCCTAGAGGATGGCAGTGAGGGCATTCCTCCTCGCACCACCACCGTGGGACTCTCAGGTCGGCTGTGCGACCTGCTGCTGCCTTTATGCACCACTATACTTGGTACTGAAACAACGAAAACGCAGCTCTGAACTGTATCCGTTCGACCAAGTTTATATAGAAACTCTTAGTCACGTTTCATTAATCATCCAGCTGGATCATCGTATTATCCTGTTTCCCAAGCTGTTTCGTTCAATTGCAATTGTTTCGTAGACCCCCCGCCCCTGTGTGTATTAATACTAAGTACAATGGTTCACCAGGGGTGGGGGGGGGGCGGGGGAGAAGAGGCAAAACGGAAGCAGACGAATTTCTTGGAAAGATTTGCTCAGTCAAGATTTTTAAAGGAGGGAAAGCAACGAGGAGCCAGAGTAAACGAAAAATCGTGAGCGTGAATAACACTTACTCTCCAGGCGGGCCATGTGTTAAATGCGTCATGGGGTTACGGTGCAGGACTCTGCAACTGGTGGGTTCAAATAGGTGCAACTGGGTTAGTACGTGAATCTTTCGGGTGGCGTGCAGCTCGTGGGGCTGATACAAGGAGCCAAATCACTGCACGTCCACCTTCCAACATCGTACACTCTGTAAGCAAATACAACGGTCATGAATTTTTATTCTCAAAATACACAGAAGCCCTCGGTTGTAATAACCGAGAATAGAATGAGAAAGCGAAATTAATAAATAGCTTTATGAATCTATGAATGATCCTACGATTCGATGATGTTAATCAGATCTTGCTTGCAAATTGATCGTCACACTTTCGTGCATGCAGGCAGTGTTACACGCGACCAAACTCGATCACCTCGAGTGACAAAAGACTTTTGTTAGAACAATGTCTCCCAAAGATTAACGAACCACGGTTCGGGAACTTTCACGGTTCTGTGAACTATCTCTTGCTTGGGAAACACCGTGGAACGAAATTATCATGCGCAAGAATGAACTTACAATCAATTAATCAACAAACACTATAGTTCGAAGGTGTTGTGTGTGTGTGTGTGTGTGTGTGTGTGTGTGTGTACTATGTGCTCAAAAGCGTTAACGTTCGCTGGAATACGTACGATTACAATCAAACGCGCGTTACATTCGCATGTATCGCCGCTCACTGAACAACAAATGTTCCCTTCGATTTCATTCAACCTGCACTTCGATTTACAAATCGTCTATCTCTACGGTGAAAGAAAAGGGAACGACGTGAGTAAAGGGATGAATCGGCGTTTCTTGTTTTCAATAGTAAAATCATAACCAACCTCCACAGGCCAATCTCCATGACGATTAATTGACAA